CCATTATTGGACAGATCTTCATAGAGCAATAGTTCTGTGAGTAAGTACTATCACAGACACGAAATGCGTTGGACAGATCATTCTTCTTTCTGTTGGTACTGTGCACTCTTCTATTGCGGTGACACAAAATTTCTCCAACAAAAGAGTTGCTTCTTCAAAATTGAACTCTGTAGTTTTATAAGGTTAAGAGTTAAAAATGATTAATTGGGATATTAGTTGTCATTATTAGCCAAGTCATAATGCAGCGGTACTCAAATGCAAAGCCATCATTATATCACTCAAGATTTTAAACCGGCCCTTTACCACTTCGTTAGGTAAGAGATGCTATAGGCAAGCCATGGCTGAAAGTCTGTACCTGCTGTACGTTTACGCTGTTGCTGGTTTATACATGCCAAAGCAATCGTGAATGTATCACAGGCAGTCAAACCAAGTCACAATTTAGTTGAAAATTCCACTGAAAATGGCCCAGATTTTATTGACACTCAGACACCTTTACTAAAATAAATAAAGAGTAAAATGTGTAATTCTTGAACGGCGTTAGATCAGAGACTCTGCGATTTAACATTCTCTCTCTGCCAAAACCTACACTCCATGCGATAAGGCTGCGACTGTCCAAATCACAGAGACACATTGAGGCATTATCTCAGCTACTTTATGCAGCAATGACCTGTTTCATTCTCCTGCAGATCACACATTGAGGCCTCGAGGACTGTTCCCACTCATGTTTAGAAAGGAAAATGATCTATTTTTCTTTTGAGGATAAATGAGCAAACTTTTATCTTTCGTCCTGATTCCCATATTCTATGTCTCTGTCTTCACTTGCTATTATTCCACTGACAGTTACTTCCTTTCTCAGAGAGGTAGCCAGGGCTCCATCTAGACATCTTAACGTTTATTTGAAAATAAACATATTTTGGAGGATTGAGAGCCCTGAGTGTGTGTGTCTCTGCACTGCTTACGGTATTCTGACAGGGAAAATGAAATGCCAGGAAAGAAAAAAGCAGGCGACCGTTAGATGATTGCTTGTTAAATGGAGTTACGACATTGTCAGTTAAACGCACTTTGTGTGACTTAAAACAATAAACTGTACGGACCTTGAATGATTTGCGAGCTCTGCGAGTTTATTTTACAATATAATGCCATATTTTGTGTATTTATACACGCATACATATTTATCTAAACAACAATATATAACAGGTATACTAAAAACATATGGTGTTACAAGCATTATATATGTTATGTACATAACACAAATATACACACACTACATAGCATGTTTGGGTGACTTGACAAAATGATCCATATAAAATCAATTTAAATCATAAATTGCAATGTCCCCCGACAGTGACATTGCCGCTGGTGGTCCAATGGCCGGGGGGAAGGGAAAGGTGAGATTTACTTATCTGAACCTGTCCCTCACAGGTGCCGTCATCTTCTTCTGGCCGGTCCTCTTCTGAAGCGCTAGCTCAGCTCAGTGCGGAACTAATGTTGAGAGGGACCTGGTGCAAGAAAGGTTTTTTTGGGTCCCCTCTAGTAGAAGAATAACTCCCACGATGCTATGTCAGCTGGGGATCTACCATTTACACATCCCTTCGGGGTTGTATTTGTGAGCAGTGTGTGTGCGTTTGAAAGTAAGCATGTTTTTGTGTACAGTATGTGTGTGCATGTAGGGCTGTATTTGTATGTACTGTTGCAGTGATGAACTTGTGTGTAGTGTTTGCATTTCAATGCAGAGGTGTGTTTGTATGTCGTTGTATGCAAGTGTGTTTTTGTGTGTAGTATTAGTGTTGGAGTGAAGGAGTGTGGTTGTATATAATTTTGGAGTTTGAATGCTGGGGTGTGTTTGTATGTAATATTTGTGTTAAATTGCAGCAGTGTGTTTGCGTGTTCTTACATTGCTTGGATGTACACTGAACAAAATTAGAAACGCAACACTTTTGTTTTTGCCCCCATTTTTCATGAGCTCAACTCAAAGATCTAATAATTTTCTGTACACAAAAGGCCTATTTCTCTCAAATATTGTCCACAAATCTGTCTAAATCTGTGTTAGTTAGCACTTCTCCTTTGCTGAGATAATCCATCCACCTCACAGGTGTGGCATATCAAGATGCTGATTAGACAGCATGATTATTGCACAGGTGTGCCTTAGGCTGGCCACAATAAAAGGTCATGCTAAAATGTGCTAAAATGCTGCTCTACCTCTCACAATACCACTCCTGCACCCCCCCCCATACTGTCTCAACCTCCAAAATTGTCCCCCAGTCCCACACAATACTGCCCCCTCACTAAAGCTCCAAACTCCCCACACTGCTCTAACCCCACCACTAACGCCTCCAATCCTATAATACTGCCCCTTTCCCCCCACACTAAAGCCCCATTCCCCACAATACCGCTCCTAACCCTACCACTAACGCCCCAATCCTCTATAATACTGCCCCTTTCCCCCCACACTAAAGAATCAATCACCACAATATGGGCCCTGTCCCCATACTAAAAAATCAATCTGCTCCATCACAATAAGACCCAATCCCCAACAATACTGCCCCTATTCCACCCTCGCTAAAGTCCCTATCCCCCCACAATACTGCCTCTACTTCCCAATACTACTCTTAGCCCTAGTCCCCCACACACACATTACTAAAGCCCTATTGTGCAGCACTACAGAATTTGTTGGCGCTATATATATTATGATAATAATAATTATAAAGTCCCTATCCCACACAATTCTGCCCCTATACCCCACACTAAAGCACAGTGACACAGAAAGAGGATGGTGGGCAAGTAAGAGACACTAAAGGGGATATAATACATTAAAGGGGGTGTAACACACACAGCGATAACACATTGCAACACAAAAGGGGGTAAGAAATTCAAAACAGGGGTTATGAGGCACACAGGTGAAGATACATTTTTTTGCGGGGGGGGGGGAGGGTCAAAATGCATATTCGCCTGTTTAGCCAAAAATGCTAGTTCCGCCACTGGCTCAGCTATATCCCAGCTATACATGGTTAGTAAATAGTTATATCCCAGATTTACAGGGTTAGTAAATAGCTGTATCCCAGATATACAGGGTTAGTAAAGAGCTGTATCCCAGATATACAGGGTTAGTAAATAGCTATATACCAGATATACATGGTTAGTAAATAGCTATATACCAGATATACAGGGTTAGTAAAGAGCTGTATCCCAGATATACAGGGTTAGTAAAGAGCTATATCCCAGATATACAGGGTTAGTAAAGAGCTGTATCCCAGATATACAGGGTTAGTAAAGAGCTGTATCCCAGATATACAGGGTTAGTAAAGAGCTATATCCCAGATATACAGGGTTAGTAAATAGCTATATCCCAGATATACAGGGTTAGTAAATAGCTGTATCCCAGATATACAGGGTTAGTAAAGAGCTGTATCCCAGATATACATGGTTAGTAAATAGCTATATACCAGATATACAGGGTTAGTAAATAGCTATATCCCAGATATACAGGGTTAGTAAATAGCTATATCCCAGATATACAGGGTTAGTAAAGAGCTATAACCCAGATATACAGGGTTAGTAAATAGCTATATCCCAGATATACAGGGTTAGTAAATAGCTATATCCCAGATATACAGGGTTAGTAAAGAGCTATAACCCAGATATACAGGGTTAGTAAAGAGCTATAACCCAGATATACAGGGTTAGTAAATAGCTATATCCCAGATATACAGGGTTAGTAAATAGCTATATCCCAGATATACAGGGTTAGTAAAGAGCTATATCCCAGATATACAGGGTTAGTAAAGAGCTATATCCCAGATATACAGGGTTAGTAAAGAGCTATATCCCAGATATACAGGGTTAGTAAAGAGCTATATCCCAGATATACAGGGTTAGTAAAGAGCTATATCCCAGATATACAGGGTTAGTAAATAGCTGTATCCCAGATATACAGGGTTAGTAAATAGCTGTATCCCAGATATATAGGGTTAGTAAAGAGCTATATCCCAGATATACAGGGTTAGTAAAGAGCTATATACCAGATATACAGGGTTAGTAAATAGCTATATACCAGATATACAGGGTTAGTAAATAGCTGTATCCCAGATATACAGGGTTAGTAAATAGCTGTATCCCAGATATACAGGGTTAGTAAAGAGCTGTATCCCAGATATACAGGGTTAGTAAAGAGCTATATCCCACATAAGAAGTTAGTAAAGACGTATCCTAGATATACAGGTTAGTAAAGAGCCGCATCCCAGATATACAGGGTTAGTAAACAGCCATATCCCAGATACACAGGGTTAGTAACAGCCATATCCCAGATACACAGGTTAGTAAATAGCCGTATCCCAGATATACAGGTTAGGTAAATAGCCGTATCCCAGATATACAGGGTTAGTAAAGGCTGCATCCCAGATATACAGGGTTGAAAAAGAGCCGCATCCCCAGATATACAGGGTTAGTAAAGAGCTGTATCCCAGACATACAGGGTTAGTAAAGAGCTGTATCCCAGATATACAGGTTAAATAGCCATATCCCAGATATACAGGTTTAGTAAAGAGCTGTATCCCAGATATACAGGGTTAGTAAAGAGCTGTATCCCAGATATACAGGGTTAGTAAAGAGCTGTATCCCAGATATACAGGGTTAGTAAAGAGCTATATCCCAGATATACAGGGTTAGTAAATAGCCATATCCCAGGTATACAGGGTTAGTAAAGAGCTATATCCCAGCTATACAGGGTTAGTAAATAGCCGTATCCCAGATATACAGGGTTAGTAAAGAGCTATATCCCAGCTATACAGGGTTAGTAAATAGCCGTATCCCAGATATACAGGGTTAGTAAAGAGCTGTATCCCAGATATGCAGGGTTAGTAAAGAGCTGTATCCCAGATATACAGGGTTAGTAAATAGCCATATCCCAGATATACAGGGTTAGTACAGCTGCATCCCAGATATACAGGGTTGGGGTAAACAAATGCATCCCAGATATTATTGCGGGTTGCAATAGCTATATCCCAGATATACAGGGTTAGTAAATAGCTGTATCCCAGATATACAGGGTTAGTAAATAGCTGTATCCCAGATATACAGGGTTAGTAAATAGCTGTATCCCAGATATACAGGGTTAGTAAAGAGCCGTATCCCAGATATACAAGGTTAGTAAAGAGCTGTATCCCAGATATACAGGGTTAGTAAATAGCTGTATCCCAGATATACAGGGTTAGTAAAGAGCTATATCCCAGATATACAGGGTTAGTAAATAGCTATATCCCAGATATACAGGGCTAGTAAATAGCGATATCCCAGATATACAGGGTTAGTAAAGAGCTATATCCCAGATATACAGGGTTAGTAAAGAGCTATATCCCAGATATACAGGGTTAGTAAATAGCTGTATCCCAGATATACAGGGTTAGTAAATAGCTGTATCCCAGATATACAGGGTTAGTAAATAGCTGTATCCCAGATATACAGGGTTAGTAGATAGCTATATATCCCAGATATACAGGGTTAGTAAATAGCTATATCCCAGATACAGGGCTAGTAAAGAGCCATATCCCAGTACATATATCCCAGATATAAGGGTTAGTAAACAGCTGCATCCCAGATATACAGGGTTAGTAAATAGCATCCCAGATATACAGGGTTAGTAAAGAGCTATATCCCAGATATACAGGGTTAGTAAAGAGCTGTATCCCAGATATACAGGGTTAGTAAAGAGCTATATCCCAGATATACAGGGTTAGTAAATAGCTGTATCCCAGATATACAGGGTTAGTAAATAGCTGTATCCCAGATATACAGGGTTAGTAAAGAGCTGTATCCCAGATATACAGGGTTAGTAAACAGCTATATCCCAGATATACAGGGTTAGTAAATAGCTATATCCCAGATATACAAGGGTTAGTAGCCGTATCCCAGATATACAGGGTTAGTAAAGGATTATACCAGATATACAGGGTTAGTAAATAGATGTATACCAGATATACAGGGTTAGTAAATAGCTGTATCCCAGATATACAGGGTTAGTAAAGAGCTGTATCCCAGATATACAGGGTTAGTAAATAGCTATATCCCAGATATACAGGGTTAGTAAATAGCTGTATCCCAGATATACAGGGTTAGTAAAGAGCTGTATCCCAGATATACAGGGTTAGTAAATAGCCATATCCCAGGGTTAGTAAAGAGCTATATCCCAGGGTTAGTAAATAGCTGTATCCCAGATATACAGGGTTAGTAAATAGCTGTATCCCAGATATACAGGGTTAGTAAATAGCTATATCCCAGATATACAGGGTTAGTAAAGAGCTATATCCCAGATATACAGGGTTAGTAAGAGTCTAGCTGTATCCCAGATTCCTTGAAAACATGAATCAATTCTAATTAAAATACATAAATAAAAAGATGAATTTTGAGGCCTGTATAATTTGGCTTTGGATTTTTTTTGCCTGTTAGAAAGCAGTTTATCAGATTCTCAGCAATTTGTGTAACAAAAACAAATTTGTACGTGGCGTAAACCGAACTCCAAGTGACATTGTTGGCTCATATGGAACCGTTTTAAAATCATTTTGCTGATAAGCATTGTGGGTGTGCAATGAAAGGGTTAATACAATTAACGGTACACTTGCAATCAGCATGATTAATTGGTGCTATTTGTCCAAGTTCAGGTCTGGATGAAGATCACAGTTTTTAGCCAGAAGTTGAGAAAAGAAAAATAAAAGAATAAATTATTTGTTCTCTGAGTGCTTGAACGTTTCCCATTTTTCTTCTCCGAAATGACCCCGTCCTCAGGAGACTGAACTACATGTAATTACTTCTTGGAGAGAAACTTAAAAAAGAAAAAACAGGGTTACACAGCGAATGTTACTGTTAAACGAACGAAATGCATGTAAATACAAGTTTCAAATATATGAAAAAATTTATTTTTATTAAATCCAATACTTGGGCAGCTGTACAGAATGGAATAATCAATATTCACAGTAAAACAGTTCTTCAA